CTGCCTCGGATACAGATACACAAGTCACTGCTGCAGGGTGAGACACAGATAGAGCAGCCTCAGGACCCATAGCCTCCTCCATCTCCGACCACATAAATGCCAATGGATCCCATCTCTCCGCCATAGCTGCTCACTCACGCAAAAACAGCAGAAGTGCAGAATACAATAATGAATGCAGGAAGAATCCCCAAAAATCCCGGCAAAACTGATGAAGACTGAATGATAACTGACTGAGAACTGATGGTGCTGATACTGATACTGATGTAGTCGGTAGTCTGACCACACGGAGGTCCAACCCTGGGTATATCCCAGAGCGTAGTCCCTGATGTCGCTCAGAAAAGCCCCAGGATCCACCAAATGACGTCTCCAAGTCAGTTGGGTACTATACTTCCCCAACCAACAAGGTGCCAAGTGGCTTCACCACAACAGTTCCAGAACAGCTCTTTACAACCAGTTTCTTCCTAGGTTAGCAACAGGGAATTTAAGAATACTCAAAGAGTACTTTACTCACCCCTCAAAAGAGAGGCTTCCCTGCCACACCCCCGGGAATGCCACCGATTGATCAGAAACTGAACCTTCCCTGTCCCCCTTGCCTGGGGAGGACTTCGCAGGGAACGGCCACACAACTGCCTCACGTCCCGACCCGCTCGAAGCCCCTCCGCCACACCTTGCCCGGATGGCAGCTCGGGGGCACTGGTCTAGGCTAGGAGCAGTAGAAGTGTCTGCGCAGCACTATAGGCCGCTCTTCTACTGTCCTGTGTCGCGAGCGATAGGCACCAAGAGCTCCCCCTCTGACCGCCGCCTGGGGGGCTATATAAGGTGCAAGCCGGTCCGTGTCCCGTCTACCCACTTCTACTAGCACCCCCCTAACAACTGTGGGGCGGCCGCCGGCTTCAACCTGGGGTCAGCCTTTTTTCTGGATAAGGTACTGTTGCCACCAGGCGGGCCTGTAACCCTTCACAGTTGTCTAGGCTGGTCAGGTACAGTCCGTGACTCTCAGCCCTTCGTCCCCCGACCTCCTGGCCTAGTGCCCTAACGGAGTGGGACGGCCCCCAAACTAACACTGGCCCGTTCGGAGGGCCCTGGGCCTGGTGCACTGGCACCCTACTGGCCTCTGTAGGTCAGGCTCTGGTGTTCGGGCACCCTACTGAGCCTCTTGGGGAGCTGTCGTACTCCGCAATAGGTGGTAGGGCGGACGTAGGGGTTGTCAGCTCCAGTCGCTGGGAACTGCTCTCCACCCGCTGAGAGGCAATCAACCCCCTCAGCTACTCCAGACGAGTCCTTTAGGAAGCTGCTCTCCACCTGCTGAGGGGCAAACAGTCCCCCCAGCTACTCCAGTCGAGTCGTGGGCAGTTGCTCTCCACCCGTTGAGAAGTTGTGCAGACCCCTCAACTACTCCAATGTCGTAGTAGAGAACCGCTATCCACCAGCTGAGAGGGTCTATGGACCTCTCAGCTGCTCCTGACGCAAGCAAAAACTTCTAGGTAGACTCCCTGTAGTGGGGAACCACCTTCCTCCCGGATCCAACTCGGTGCAAACTCACAGGACGAAGCACAGGTCACTTGCAGGTCCTGGCAGGTCGCTACTCAGCGCCCCCCCCTCTCGGAGGTCGCTACTCGGGACCCCCGCCCACCGGCAGTACTCGGCGCGGGCGGATTCCCACAGCTTCCCCCCCCGTCACGTCACTCGGGGGGTCAGTCACGCCTGCGTCGACCCCCGCGACCCGGGGTGCCTCCCCCACTCGTTCACTCCGCTCTCTGCGCCCCTCCACGAGCCTGGCGCCCGCCGGCCTGCGTCCCCCGCCGCCGATTCACCGCGCGGGTCCGCGGATCACAACCCCCGCCGCCGGGCCCGGATGCCCCGCGCAAGCGGTGTCCTCCAATTCCCCGATCCGGCAGTCCAATGCCGCGGAATGCGCCCCCCGCCGTCGGGCTCGGCGCTCGGATTCACAAGCCAACGCCCCCCGCCGTCGGGCTAGGCGCGAGAAGCAGCAGAATGTGCCCCCCTCCTTAGGGCCAGGCACTCGGTCCGGTTCGGAATCCCCCGCCGATTCAGGCGGCGCCGCGAGGCGTCCACCTGGCCGGCCTTTCTCCCTTGGATCTCTCGCGAATTGGGGCCCTCCCGCCATCGGGCCGGGTCCCCTCGGCTCTCTTGCACCGCGTGGCGCGCTTCCGTCCTCCGCGTCCGCCGGCTCCGAAACCACTGGCGTGGTTGTCGGCTCGATGCGCGGGCAATGAACCCGCCGCGGCGCCCAATCCGGCCGGAATGGCCTCCTCCGCCGAATGACGGCGGGCGGTCCGGGGCGCTCGTTCCTTCGGGGTGCGCAGTGTGGGCCCGGTCCTGCGAACGGTCGGGCGCGGGGCGGCAGTGCGCGCTATGGGTGCACGACGCCGGTGCGGCCTGCGGGTGCAGCCGCGCGGAGGCAAGTGGTCAGCAAGAGTTACAATCCATCGGGCATCGGGGCCGCCCTTTGGCATGCCCCGCATCACGTGACAATGCAGAGTATCGATAGTATCTCATCCCCAAATACGGTCATGGAGGTGCCCTTAAGTACTATACTTTCTAATGGCTATATCTCCACTACCGCTAACCCGAATGGTCTGATCCAAGAACCTATAGGTTCCTAGTAAACTCTACTAAGGGATGAGATTGTTCATGAATATTCATTGTACCTCCCAAATACCCATAATCAAAGAAACACACTACCCCCTGTGCTTTACACCACACGCGGCCCCCATCCCAAGGGTAGTCGGGTTCGATGCATGGCCCGGCATCCATGCCATGGGATGTCCGGGTTGCTGGGGTGCCGATCCCCTCAACCTCCACTCCCCATTCCGCCTCCCAACCACAGCCGCTTCAACCGACCCACGTCTATCCATCGCTGTGGCCTCCATCCTACACCTCGCATCCACCAAGGCCTCCCACAGCACCACCACGCCAAGCACCGCCAAAACAATGGTGGCGCTCGGAGGTTGGCAAACAGGACGGCGACGCTTCCCGCGTCGCCATCGGCCACCTGGACCCCCAGGGTCCGTCCCCGGCTCCGAAACCATATCGGGTTGACCGGTCTCACACACGCTCGCACGGTCGCTCCCAAGCACGGGAAGCAAAACCGTAACCGGATGCATTACAGGATGAGTGTATCGACTAAATATCAATCACTGCAATAATGTTCACTTTCCCATCTCCATTGTCCCCATGTACATTCACCATAACACCATGTCCACCGTATTTACTTCCCACCATCAAAACACACCATGTATCATATATTATACATTAACCATTCGCTTGCTCTCACATTATACATTAACCGTTCGCTTGCTCTCACAATCATCATCATCACCATTATTATTTTTTGCAGAACAAGCAATGAGGTAGCCGTCAACTTCCTATTTTGCCTAAGCAAAGCAGAGTCGGTGATTGGTTCACTGAAATCTAATGAGAAATACAAACTAAATCTATAGTTCTATGAACTCTCGATGCCTAAAAGCAATAATTAATGCTAATACATCAAACGAAGTGTCTTTCCAAGCTGGCGAGCTGGAACTGAAGCAAAAAGTACTTTTGTGTTGCGACATTAAAAAATACAAGAGTGGCTTCGATGGATGTTGTCGTAGGCTTTGTAGTGGAAGAGAAAATTGATCTCGTCTTCAGGAGCCAAGTGGCATAAAGGACACAATCATCTTGAAAATTCTAGAGTGGATTGTCTCACTTGGTGTCGTTGTTTCTTGACTTCCAGAAAATGCACCCCATAATAAAATCGTAGGAAGAATGACCTCAAGGAGATATGTTGTAATGTTGATGGGAATCGTTCATTATTGAAGGAAAATGGCCGTTGATGCGATTCAAACGGCTCCCTTTGGAGTGCACATGGGAAGCGCGAATCCACAATTGCCGATGCTTCTACAGCGTTGGCACATGGCCAGACGCAAGGCCACACCACACACAGAACGCCCAGGGCTTACATATTTGTTCACCCTTCCCACCGCGAAGAGCCTTACCGACGGTGGCAACGGCCCCCGCAACTGAACCGCTCGAATCTCCTTGCACCCACAGAACTTTCCTTTGCACGTGACAAGGATCATCCTCCATCACTAACCAACCATACCACACTTCAGAGATGCCCACTCATCGCCACAATACAACCCACTTTATACCACATATACTAAAGGTGCCCATACACTCAATGGCAATGTAGAAATATTTCAGTTGCGAGCGCGACCCCAACATAACATTTATCTCTAAAACGGATGGTATCTCCCACAACATTCAAATTGATGCTCACAAAAGTCCCATCACATGAGAAATAATTCTATGAGTTCTAAAACACATTTTTCTTTTCTTTATATAAATTCAGAGTGCCTTGCATGCAAAAAATATTCCTAAAGTGCATACAAGTCGCACACCATAATGCATAAGTGATCCACCCAGTGAAACGGTGGTCATTATGCGGTGTTGCGAACATCATATCATTCAACTCTTTTTTCCACATGACAATGACCATCCATCAACAACTAGCCATACAACACTTTAGAGATGCCCAATCATCGCCACAATGCAACCCACTTCATAAAATATACTTCGATTCAGATGGCATCTCCAACAACAATCAAGTTGATGCTCACAAAAGTCCCATCACATAAGAAATAATTCTATGAATTCTAAAACACATTTTTCTTTTCTTTGTATAAATTCAGAATGCCTTGCATACAAACAATATTCTTGAAGTGCACACAAGTCGCACACCATAATGCATCAGTGATCCACCCAATGAAACGGTGGTCGTTATGCGGTGTTGCCAACGCCAAGAATACTATCTGCCGTATCTGCCGTCCCAACCACCACAACCAACACTCCAGCCTGAAGCGTCTGCCAGTCTTTGTCCAGTTGACACGCCTCCAGACACCTCCCAGACCCGCTTGCGAGGAGCGACAGCACGCAATCGCGCCGGTCCACTGCCCGCGACAAGAGGCCGGGAGGGCCTCTGCGCAATCGAGGACATGGCGCAGAATAGCTCTGCCAATGGCGCAGAATCCCTTGCCGTAGCAGCGGCCTCGACAGCAGGGCCGTCCGTCCAGCCGGCGGTGGTGCTGTCTTTTGCCGGCCGCCTGAAGGAGTACGCTGCGGGGGTCGTGAGACAGGTGTGTGGAGGATCTCAGGAGTGGCGGAGGGAGTGCTTGAAAAGAGATGGCTGGGGGCTTTCCTCTTGGAGGTCGTGTTCAGAAGTGTTCGGTGTGCGGCAGGGGAAGCCGTGGTCGGAGGTGGTCGATCGTACTGCGTTCTCGAGACCGCAGAACCTGGCAGAGGTGAGAATTGGCCGAGGTATCGGTTGGCAACCTTGTGGCAGCGGCGCTGGGACGCTGTAGCTGCGGCCTCTTGTCGCTGTCTTGGCAAACACTTTTAGGCCGGACGGGGCTGCCTGTTTTCTGGACAGCTCTGTGCATCTCGATCTTGTGAGGACCGTTGCTGGGCAGCGAGAGCATGTAGGTGGTTGCCTCATCGCAGTGCCAACTTTTGTGGGGAGAATTGGCCAACACAGGTTCTCCCCATTTGGTTGATATTTCAACACCTTCAGCCTTCACACAGGGTAAGGAGACTCTTGTGCGCCACTGCTTAGGAGCCCACATGTGACCTCCCGGCCCAAGCACCAGGGCTGTCTGGTGGACAGTTGCTTGGGGAGCTAATATTAAGCTAGACAAACGACAATGAGGGACGAATGGCACGTGTTGCTGGCAAAGAATGAAGCCAGTTTCCCTTTCCCAATGGCAAAAACAATTGCTTCAATGTTGCGCCTTATCAATTTTCAGTGTAATTGGAATTGAGACTATAAATCTGGCGCCAAGGAGCAGGTTCACTGAGCCCCATCGTTGATACCCCAGGCTGTAAAATTTGGCCAGTTGTCATAGCTTTTTGGTACATGGTGGCAAATTCATCCATTGTTTCCTATCAGTTCTTCTGGACTTTTCCAGTCCTGGTGCGACAAGACAGCTCTGCTAAATTTGCAGTGCAGCACTTCTTGGGCAACGGAATTCGTGCCAAATGTCAACCAAGCAGTTCACTTGTCCAAAACAGTGTCGATCCTGTGTAGTTTAGTCAAGTTCTACAAGAAATTGAAATCAATGACAATCCCTCTGAAAGCTTGGCAGGTGAATGACAGACAGCGAACAATCTGCAATCTGCAATCAACAATCCAATCTAAAACAGCATGCAAGTATCATATTCATATTGGCAGCTGCGTGAACTGTGACTCCCTGAGTTAGGCCAGTGGAGTTTGTTTAATGTTCCACTCAATATTGGCAGGTCTACAGTTGTCAACTGAACAAGGCAGAACACCCCATGAATTCTGAAAAACTGGCCAGCTGTTTGCAACTGTCATTAGGTATTGATGATGTGCTTGGCTGTGATCATGTTGGAATCGTTGAAAACGGATAATCTGGCTGAGGGGATGCTTATGCAGCACATGCACTTTGGCACTGCTGACATTTTGCAATGGAATGACACTGGAAGAGTTGAAATGTGGCCAAGCAAATGTAGCAAACACTGTTGCCTTTTCTGTGGTGCTGTTGTAGCAGAGCATATGAGTTAGACTGAAGTTGTTGAACTTCCTTCTGCTGTAGGCCACATCTCGACTGAAAAAGAATGTTGCCTACTTTCGAATCAACTACCTTATTATTGTCATCATGGCGATAACGGTCTGCATGCTGATGAACCCAGGGTCGTTAATGGTGTTGTGCACACTGCTGGTGGCTTGGATTTATGTGTTTGTCATCCGCACCACCCCACTGGTTATTGCCAATCAACCTTTAAGGTGAAGAAGTTTGCCAACAGTGTAGTCCTCACTGCTGCCTGTCCCTCTTTTCTGTTGTTGTTCTTCTTGTTAGGAGGTTGCACGCCCATTTTGCAGACACGATATTTGCATTGTGATCAAGGCAGGGACATAAAGAATACGTTCACATTGCCATTAGGACAGTGTGCTGTGCATTTGACATGGATCCACGTAGTGCTATGACAGAGGCAATGCATGGTGTATTGTACATCAGCAGGGCACTGCAGTGGGGCTATTATGTACTGTGTGTTCACCCCCATACACTTTACCCTCAGCACTGTCTGTCAAGTTCATATCAATGCTTCTGTTGTACTGTGCATCTTGGCTTGCTGGATACAGCAGTGGACAGGCCCTTACTTGTATGCCTCCTCCAACTCCAACAATTATGCTGCAGTACTGCAGTATGTTGGAAACACTGGTTGTTGAAAACATTGCACAACACATTCAGCAAAAGGCAGCTTTTATGTCAGTGCTTTGACTAATGTCAGGTACTTCAAGGCTTTAAACAGGTTTGCATGCACTTCACAGTGGTCCAGCTATATTGTGGTCGATTGGCAGAAACTCTGCCACAACTCTGGCTTGTTTCAAACAGCATTGTGACAGCTGAAGACTGTGCCTTTCGGCCCACCTCAGCATGTTTGCCTTGATGCCGTTTTCAGGATGAAGACAATGAAATGGGGCAGGCTTTAAGCCTTGTCAATCAAATTGCTTTCCCCATATGGAAGTATCTTTATAGCCCCTCTTGAGCAAAGTCTATGTTGGAAAATGGCTTCCCTCTGATGGACCAGGGCTCACCACTGCTGAATAACAGTTGCCAATGGCAAAGCCTCATACCAGTCGGCGATAGCAGTTGTGCGGCTTGACGGAAGAAAAACAGTGTGCATTGTGGGCTGCTTGTGCCTTTTGCACTGCGAATTTGGTACTTATTGACATTGCCACCATTTCCAGGAAGAGAAATGCCACATTTTTTTTGCACTATTCAATCACACATTGTAACTTCTTGTATCTGATCAAGCCTAAGGAATGCATGGTTATGGCGTTGGTGCTGCTCAAAGATGCAACACACAGATTGCAAAGCACAAATCCAATACCACTAATTTGCACAACTCTAGGGTGCCCCATGAACGATCGCAGATACTTCATTTTGCTGAAAAACTTGTACTTTCTCTGCAATTGGTGTCCTTAGTGGTACAAGACTAATGCAGAAGAGCTCGAAATGGAACGAGGTGGAAACCTGTTCCTTTTGTGCTTTGGCGGGATGTCAAGTTGCAATAGAAATAACATTGGCTGTGTGTGATCACAGTGATGAAATGAAGCTGATGGGAATGGCGGTAATATCATTCATCGTCATATTCTTCCTCACAAGGTGCAGGCCATATATCCACGCACAGTCTGTGCACCTGACCATGGGTTGCTGGCGCTGGACACCCTCAGATTTTGGCTGTGTGTGCAATGTTCTTCTTCCAGTCTTTCCACGCAAGAAGGCAGTTCAGCTTGTGCAAATTCGTTGAACAGCCTGTGGACTCACTACAATTCCTCACTGCTGCCACAGCTACTTGCTCTGCACATCCTGTACTCTGCTGGTGATATTTTGCCTGGCAGCTGTAGACTGACGAAAATGCGGGTTCAGTGATTTTCATGTGTTGCACAGATACAAATGTCACACATATACGTAAGCTTGCAGTTAGACGTGGCAAAGTGAATGCATTTCATATTTTTCTGTGTTGCTTGAATTTTGTGTACCAAGTCTTGTTCCTCTCCAGATTCTGGAACTGGTTTCTGTTCCAATTCCAATGAACATTGATGCGTCACCAAGGTCACATTGTGATGCTGTGAGCACAGTCTCTGATACACGCTGCCCAGACCAGTTGCCCCCTGTGAACATGGCATTGGGAACTCCATAATAAGGTGATCACCCGATGACAACCACTGTGGCTTTGGAGCTGCCATTACCCTGCAATGGTCAATTTTGTAGGGTGGAAACTTTTCAAGGATTCAAGGACTCAACTTGGCAGAAGTTGCTCTGAAAATGTTCTGTGCAGTGGCTCTCTGTCACATTGGGCGAAAAATATGTATCCCATTAACTTCTGTATGTGCAATGCCTTCATATACAGACATTCTGAGCGCTGGTATGTAGAAACACCGCTTCTGATGTTAGTTTGTTTGCGGTGCAGCGTTGGTGCTGTGGTGTTTGGTGCTCTGTCCATTGGTTTCTGCCTCATCGCCTTGCATGGAGCAACAAGGGTGCCAGATGACCTATTCTTGGACGACACAGAGGTAAAGGTGTTGTGTCCTTTGTGTCCAGCTGTTGGTTGAGCTAGCAAAATGCTGTCCAAAGCCTCGGCTGTTGGTATGTTGATAGTGCTGAGAACGCAGTGCCTGATTATGAGTTGGTTGTATTCCCTGGTGCCTCCCACACTTCAGTTGCCAGTTAGTGCCTTAAGTTGCCTGTGAGTTGCAAGCAGTGCCTGCGTTCAGCAACATGCTCTCCATTTTCGGGCCTTGCATCGCCTGCCATCTCTGTAAGGTGGCAAAAGAAGTGCTTCCGTTCTGTGGGACTAGGATGCGCCTGAAAACTTTGACTCTATGCACAGTTCTGTAGCAGGTAGCTGTTGCCTGGTTGGCCAGTCGCTCATCTGGTAGGTCGTCACTTGACAGAGGGCGCCTGGGCAGCATATGTGACTGTGTGTGCCGCACAGACTCCCCAAATTGCGGCCCCTCTTCTTGACAACGGAAGCCCTGTCCTGGTCACCTTCATGCAATGATCTTATATCATGTCATGACGTAGTGGTTCAGTGTCTGTTGGACCACGGAGTTGAGTGCGGGTGCTTGCTCCTTTGATGCTGGTGGAATCTGTTCTTCTGAAGAAATCTTTGGGCCACCTTCCATGCTGCAGGTCAACCAGAACCTCATGTCCATTTTAATGGGTGGCAAGCAGATGCCTTCCTTGTCATCAAACGTTTGATGCTCAGCGTGGCTGGGTGCCTTGGCTTGAAGGGCGTCTTTGCTGAGACCTTTATGGACAGAATTGGCTGGGAGCCTGGATAGCAGAGCACAGTGTTCTTCTTTCATGCGGCTCCCGCTGCCTTGCTGGCCAGTGCCACCTTGTGGCTTCATTGGCCCGGCTTATTCTCGGTTGGCTATGGCAATGGAGGCAGGCATTCTGGGTTTTCGTTGGGTGCTCTTTAGGTTGACTGGAGGGTGCGAGGAATTCCCTTGAACTTTGGCCATTTGGTGATTGGGCCTTCCAGTCGTAATCAAGGCGATCTTCTGACACAATTGGACTACAAATTGCTGCTGTGAAATGCAAACACACTGAGGCGATGTCGGCTAAGGTGGCTGACTCTGATTGCAAACAATGCGAATTGGAGGATGTATGCGCATCTGGGACACTGGATGTGCAAGAATGATGATACGCGGCGGGTCCTTATGCTGCGTTTTGTATGGCTGCATTGAACGCAGTCATAAATTTTGTGACTGCGCTACTGAGCATGGAGTTCTCCATTGTCTTGCTGCTGCACTGGACGGCAAGCTTTCGACAGCTCTAATTGCCGCCGTGCATTGCGACTCTTGCATGATGCACGGCAGTTGTATTGTGGTTGAACGCCGCACGCATTGCTTTGATGAATCAATGTACGCCTGCATGTCGTGGAGCTGGTTTGCCTTGCTCTTGAGGTCAGTTTTATAGAAATCTGCTGGCAGCGACTCCACCAACAGCAGCCACTACCCGTAGAGGAACGGCTCAGCTCACAGTCGGGGACATGCAATGAAACGGTTGGGTAGACGACATGGACAAGTGGAAAACTCGCGCCTGGCGTCCAGTGTCATCCCCCAGTTAGGGCAGCCATCGCTGACCTGGCCATCGACGATGTTGTTCAAGAAATGCATCCAGGAGCGAAAATTCGATACGCAAACGTTCTTGGATCGGCTTGAATCAAGGAACGATTCAAACGAACAACGTGGCCTACAAGGATTTGCGTCAACTTTTTTGGTCTACGGACAAGAACAAGCATAGAACCAAAAAAGCGTTCACCCGTGTCGCCGGCAGAAGTCCCGTATCTGGATTGCCAATCCCCCTCTGTACGTGCAAAGCATCCCACGCCAAGGTGTGGCCACACGTTCTTGGCTGCAGGCCCTGGGATGCGCGCCCCACTCAGCCCATCCACCGAACCCGCCCCCTCCCATACTTTGCTCCGCTGCAACCGCAACACCGACATTTGGCTGAAGCTCAGCCGGGCAACCAGCGCACTCCGAGGACAGGCTGAAATATTTGTGAGCACATTGCGTGTGGCCAACCCGTGTTTTGCGGCCCGTGGCGTCAGGCTCTCCACACGCAGGGATGAAGGGAGGCGCGGTCATACCTCCGTCAAACAAGGGCCGCAACAGCGCGGACTTTGTTTCCCAAAGCCTGCATAGCGAGGCCGTGCTGAACAGGAGGAAGTTGCTGAGGGGGGAGTCGCCCACGCGGCGAAGCTCCTTCACCAGCGACGATGGCGAGCTCTGGACGGAGGTGTATTGCGGCGAGGCCAAAGAGCAGGTGGGGGAGGCGTGGGAATGCTTGAGATGACCCGTCCATGCTCGGAGGGAAGCAGACAATGGCCATTGTGTCTGCACATGTTGTCGTTCGATGGATGCACAGCACTGAGTTTTGTGCACTGGACCGGGAGGGGGGGGGGGGGGGGCGCGGGGTGCAAATTGTATTGCACGCTGCCTAGTTGTCGATATTCGGGGTTCTCCCCCGGTGAGGTAGAAATACACAATTGCACGGCGAGGTGGCCACGTCAGCCGCTGGGCTGGATATTGTCATCCCAATTCGAATTCGAATGCATTCCATTGCAGTCCAGTTAGTTGATCTGTATTGCATCGCTGCCCAGGGGATCCGCAACCACGCAGGTGACCTGGAATGCAGCATTCTGGCTTTGCCCTCGTTCATTTAATTTCAAGAAATTGCAGAGGTTTCTTCACTATGATAATGAAAGGGTCCCATGTCAGTCCTGCCTGCCCAGGTTGGGCACCTGCTTGGCAACGAGCAAGGAGCACTTGCCGCGGTCTCAAGGCCCGTGAGTTTGGGGTTCCAAAATGCCCCTTAGATTTGGCACATCGACGCGTTGACATTCATTGTGTCGGGGCCTCTTCAGAATACGAGCGACGTCCCCGGTCTCAGCTCCAGTGTGGCGGAAACACCCGGCAAAAGATCGCTTCAGCTGACGAAAATGGAGGTCAGCGAATATGAAGCATTAAGGAAGAGCACCGAGCAGCAGATCAAAGACGACGGTAGGGCTGTCCTAAAAGTGTTCTGCACTCACCGCAGGATTTCCCGCAACGAGTCACATTGAAACGTTTTCCCGCTACGCTGGTCAGCGCGAATGCCGCTCATCGTGGGTTCCCAGCACAGCAACTTCAGAACTTGCTGTTAACGGTATATTGAATTCCCGCATTCACGTTCGTCCCTGGTTGTCATTTCAGGCTCTACGGGAGCATCGGCACATTCTGCCCTGCGCACGCAAGATTGCCCTAAACACTCGTGGGTGGTAGAGTGACAATGGCCATATCTTTTAACGGGTATCCGCATCTAATTATGCCGTGTTGTGGTCATGGATCACTCAAGTGCCATCTGCCATGGCGCGTGGGATTCTGTTGCACACTACTTCTTGCCAGCTCTTAAGCACCACCGCTTCTTTTGATCCTTCACCAGAGACTCAAATGTTCCCTGGGAATCAGGAATCCTTGCTCAGTCCGGGAACTCGAAAGGAACGGCAGGATTCAGACGCGCATTCCACTGAACAGTCATTGACATTCCTGCCGTCTCCCTTTGGGTTTTGATGAATTTGAGGCTCTCAAGTAAGGCACATACCAGTCTCATTGCCTGGTCCTCAGGAAGCCATGTAAGAGTCGGCTGGCTCGATGACGGCTGTCATGAAGCAGCGGGGCCCATTCCGGAGTCCGGGAGATTGAGCCTCCTCCATCCCCTGTTGGGGCGAATGGCATCGTACAGAGTGGATGGCGCTCTGGGGAAACTGGATCCGCAAACGATTAAATTCCTGCAAGTTCCAGAGGAGGAAACGGATGAAAGTGTCGCGGCAGAGGAAACAAGTAAGTCAGAAATGGCGGCTTCACTGCTTGCGAGTGCTCATTGCGTTCATGGGGGTCTGGAAGCTTGCCTGGGCAGATGCACAGCCTCTGCTCTTTAATATTTGTCTATGCCAATGGAGCTGCTCGTTCAGTACTTCTGATCGCGAACAACAACTAAATTATCGCGTGGCTAGAAACTCGAATCCAGTAAGAGGCAACAGACTCAGAAACACAGAACGCCAAGCAACGTTGGAATGGAGAGCAAGCCATCTGCGGTACCCATGCGTGCAGATCCACCGGTGTCTGCCGCCGCAACATTCAACAACAAGAGGATCCCTTTGCCAAAGGCGCAAGTTAGAATGTGATCTGCCGTGTTTTCAATTTCCTGACGAAACAGCTGCACATGCAGGTCAGTGGAAACGGAGGAGGCGACAGATTTGGCAGCTCATGACGGACGCCAAATCGAGTCGGGCTGCAACTGTGGTCTCCTTACTGTTGATCTTCACAATACTGGTGTCGTCAGTCACAATGTGCGTGACCACTGTGGCGTCGTTTAGCTCGCACAGCAATGCGGCGTACTACATTGAAACGGCATGCATTGCCGTGTTCACACTGGAGTACGTACTGAAGCTGGTGTCCACGCCTAACTTGATGGAGTTCCTGAAAGGTCCCCTGAACATTGTGGACCTCCTGGCCATCGTTCCCTGGTATCTCGATTTGGTCTTTGCTACATTCCACCTGGGCGAGAACCTTCCGATATTGAGGGTCATTCGCCTGGTCCGAATATTCAAGGTTGGGGAGCGGTACAGAAAGATCAACATCGTCACCAATGTGATGAAGGATTCGTTGGACATGCTCATGGTCCTCCTGTTCATACTGTTCATCGCGGTCATCATGTCGTCGACTGTTATGTACTACGTCGAGCGTGGACACTACAATGAGGAGCTGGGATACTTTGTGAGATCTCGCGAGCCTCATGTAGGGAGGCGCGACTACGACACACCCCGGGAGACGCCCTTCCGGAGCATTCCGGACACCTTTTGGTGGTGCATGGTGACCCTCATGACAGTGGGTTATGGGGATGTTGTGCCCGTCACAATGGCGGGCAAGGCAATCTCGGGGATCCTCATGCTCATCAGCCTGCTCATACTGGCGTTGCCGATATCAGTCATAGGCACCAACTTCACGCAGAGGTGGAGGGATTACAAGGTGGGCCACAGTGCAAAGGAAAGCACGATAGGCTGGTGCGCGGTTCGCAGTGCACCACACGGTTAGGTTGAGCGATTGTCTGTGCGCTTGTTGGTGCACAGCGCCCAATGCTTCTCAACGGTGTCCAGGCGGCGACCCTCCGTGGGGCCGCTGCCGGGAGTCACTCTCTGCCGGGCAGTCTTTGGACCCGTTCATGGTGGGTGGCCTGTATGTTGCTGGGTCGCCGGCGCAAAGGCTGGAAACGGCACGGTGACTGTTCGTAGTGGGTGCACACCGCAATTTTCCCAGACTGGTATCGCTAGGCCACTTCGATAACGCATATGAACGAATCCTGATGAAGATCTGCAGGGAGGCGGCGATCCTCTACCTTAGGCTGTCATGCTGTGTATTGTTGGACACTTACACCAGCCAAGACATTTTGACCGATGCACTCCTTTGCGCATTCCTAGGGCATACCATGTATGGTTTTACTGAGCAGCGTTGCCTACTTTCCAAGCGGGCGTCTGTGTACATTGCAGGAACGAATGAAAACCTGCGGCACCAGCTCTGTGCCCAGCAGAGTTGAACTGGTCGAGGACCTGCTGTCCCAGTTGCTTCAGAATGTTGATGACATCATCAAACACTTTGTCCACACGGAGCACGAGTTGGAACTCATAAGAACTCGCTTTCAAGACAGACTGAATGATAACCAAGTGAGTGCACCGAGGGTTGGGTGTATGCAAGTGAACAATGCACTGTGCAACAGTACTGCCAACTGCAACAATGCACTGTTCGGAAATCTCATGGGACGTTGGAAAAGGAACAAGCATGACAGAACTACGACTTGTAGCAACAATCTGAACCCAGTGAACTTGATCTCCCAAATGTCACCAGTGCCATCAATAGCACAAAAGGGGGAGTGCAGCGTAAGGACCTGCCAAAACAGTGTTTGCATGCATTGGAATTGCTGAGGGTACGCCATGGTTGCCAACAAACTGTGTCAGGCAGACAGTTGATTTGTTAACTTCCCTTTCTGTTGTGGATCTTGGCCAGTACTCAAACAGGGCCTTGTAAACTGTGCCTGTGCGGGGGACCACATGGCATCGGGAGCTTGGAACATTTGTCATACCCATAATAACTATTTCATCTGTCCCATATTAAATGTCATGTATGATTTTGGCACTTTTTTCTCCATCTTAAAGACCATATCTTTTTGTGCAATTTTGACCCAAAGCTGTGATTATGAGTTTGGAGTATGCGGTCAAAAATCAAGTCAATCCATTAAGAATTGCGGATTTGGCATCAGCCTGTAGCAGGGTACCTAGTAAACCTCGATGTCTGCCCTCAAAAATGACCAAAATTTACCTTGTTCCCAACGCTCAGAGGGATCAGGTCTCATTTTATCTTCTTGAAAATTGGTAGTTATGGATTTTGGAACCCAATCTTTCCGATTATGACCTCCTTTTGCAATTTTAATGCATTTTCACAACAAATTTGTCTTTCAAACAGACGACATTTACTGCGGGACAGAGGATGTATATTATATCCACAATCCAACGACCACATGCAGTCATGTCCAATGCCAGATGATCTTGGAAGTTGACATGAAGAGATGGTAGTTAATGTGTGTGATACTATGTTCGTGTCTGCAGTTTCATGCACATGCTGTAGCCAGTGGCTGAACATATGCAGACAAAGCTGTGCACAAGTTTAACTTCCAAATAAGAAGCTTTGGTGCCTCCTCAAGCTGTGATTTTGATCTTCTCCATTTTATTCAAAGAAGTCAGTGGAGATTGTGGTTGATGTGTTGAACTGATGCCTATTGATGCTTCGGTGCAAGGCTAGTCTTGAAAGAACCCCCACCTCTTATGGAAACTCACTGAAGAAACATGCCCTAAAGCTTCAAACATCCATGGACAAGAGTTTGAGACGTGAGTTGCTTGCACGGGAGAAGCGGGAATTTCTCGAGCTACAGCGGGCGGAAAAGAAAATGAACAAACACTTCCTGCACCTCGATGATCTGATGGTTGCCGCTCGTCTCCTGAGATCGCGTGGTTTCGTTAGATTGTTGAAGCAAGGCCGGGTGAAGTTCAGACAGATGGAATGTTTGGTGGACGAGACTCAGGTGGGGCCACTTTTCATTTATTCAGGCAATTTGTGGTCTACAGGAGTTTAGTAACATATCCTGTGTCAGCTGGCTCCCTATTCTCTGCAGTAGCTGGAATTTCATCCACAGTGAGAGGAGATTTGAGGTCGCTAACGGTGCCAGAGATTGTGCATTTGCATTGCAGCGATTGTTGAATGCCTGGGTGTATCCTCTTGATGGGGTTGCTGCAAAGCAGCAAATGTGTTGATGCAGGAACTGTGTTTTGTCCTGCCCATTCAGTTTGCATCTTCATTGGTCAGCATTATAGCAGCAAGTCATTGCGTATACCCCAAAGATGTTCATTGCTGTAGTCATTGCTATACCATTGCAGTATTCACTGCTGAACTCAGTACACCAAACACATGAGTCTTCTTGATTGTTCATCACAATGGAGGCCAAGGTGTCTGCAATCGTGGTTGCAGAAACTGTGATGATCCCATGGCAGTGTCGAGCTGCCTTCCATGCAAAACTAAAGAAGGCGGCGTGCCATGTGCACCTGCCCGGCACAGCAGACTAAAAGGTAGCTGCATGCCTTTTTGTTCAACTCCAGGGGCTGAAGGCAATTTTCGATGACTTGGAATCGGAGTTGGCAGCTTTGGAACTAAGTCTAAGTAATTTGGAGAGATACTTCAGAAGGAAACAGGAAGCCAAGCAGGGGCGCAGTGCAGGAACAAGGAGCAAGGTAAGGAAGATGTCAACAAGGGTGGCGATTGCCCTTGGATTCAAGCCGCACGAACCTCGATGAAGCAAACATTATCAGTGTGCAGTCCAAGAGCTGTGATGTCATAGACGCGAATGGCAGGCTGGTTGGCAGTGGGCAGTGACGGTTCGCTTTTGTGGCAGTGGCAGTGGCGGGTTCACTTTGGTATGATATTATGTAGATAGCCAGCTGGACAGGGGACATTCAGCAGCATAGTTGGAGTGCATAGTTTGTACATGTGTGTTTACAGCGTCTGCCAAGGCAAACAGCGGGGGTTTGATCTGTGTGGCTGGATTTACAAGTGTCCATATGGATGGCAATTTGTTAGTAGGGGATGGAGCTTTCCTGGGAGATTCCAAGCTAGGTTTGGTTCTCCAAAGACCTGAAAGACCAATTTTGTTGCTTCCTGCGTATTGCCAGTCGTATGGACATGATGTGCCAAGCCTACTATCCTGCTGAGGCTGGGTGCCATCGTACTTGTTCTTCTCCAGCAGAATGCACAACACCAAGAGCAAATTATTCAACGACGGTTACCACCGTTTAGCGCCTCTCTACAACGGCGTCCTGTCGTCCCCACGGCAGTGGTGGCCGTCGTGATCCGTGTCTGCCGCATTGGCCTCATTTATCCGACGGAATTCCAGGTTTGGGACGTATCGGAGGCTATCCATCAAGGGAAGATGGCGCTGTCCCTGTCAACATTGCGCCTCCCCCGAAACTGATCAGCAACAACACACTGGAACAAAACCCAGCGGAACCAACCAACACACGCAGCTGGCCAACAACGCATGGAGATTACCTGACCACGTTTCGCTCGGCCCCCCCAGCGCGGCAGGAGTTCACCAGCGCCCAACCCACACCCGGGAAAGCTTCCTCGGGGACGGGGCCTCCACGCGCAGCGACAAACGCCTCATCAACCCGCGCAGAAGTCCAAACGACACTCCCGTTGGCGAATCTTGCACCGGCTACTGGACTGACCCCACCCTCCGTGATCATTTGGGGCACCCCGCTGCATGTTCCTTGCGGTCATGCGGGGGCGGATTGTTTCGCCTCCCGTTCCCCACCCCGCCCCCCACCCCGCTCCGCGGTGAGCAGTCCCCCCTTCCAGACCGCTGGGGGCCCCGCTCGCCGGCATGGCGATGAGGAGGGCCGCCGGCCTGGCGGCGGCGCAAGTGGCGCGGTCGCTGAAGAATGGGGCGCTGAATGGCGCCGCCCTGCACGCCCCGGCCGGCTGTTCGGGTCCCGCGCTGGGCGAGGCGGCGCCCACGGCGCTGTACGGCATCCGCCTCGCCGCCTCGGCGATGTCGCGCGGCTTCGCTGCGGAGCCGGCCGTGGCCGCTTCGGAGGCGACCGGTCGCGTCACGCAGGCGAGTGCGCGCGCGTCGCTGGCCGCTGCGGTCTTGATCTGGGGCGCAGGGTTCCCTTCCCCCGGCGAGAGACAGCCTGATCAGGGCGTTCATGATGGCCCCGGCGTTCGATCCCCTGCCAATGCTTTCGCCGCCGCTCATGCTCGCCTTGTGGGCCGCGCGACCCAATTGTTGGAGGTCCTGCCGGAGCGGTGCGTGCATGGTTGGTGGAGTTCTTTTCTCTGTTGCCTGACGTCTGTTGAGCGCCGCGTGCGCAGGTGATTGGCGCCGTCGTGGACGTCCAGTTCGAGGGTGAGCTGCCTCCCATCCTGAGCGCGCTGGAGGTCGAGGACTCGGAGCATCGGCTGGTGCTGGAGGTGGCCCAGCATCTTGGGGAAAACACCGTGCGGACCATTGCCATGGATAGCACGGATGGGCTCATCCGAGGCCAGGGCGTCTTTAACACCGGTTCGCCCATCAACGTGAGTGCTTGCGCGTCCGCTTAGCTACTGATCTCGCTGATCATGTAGCTGAGACCATGGCGCAGTCCTTCCGAATGCATCTGAACGCCGGCGCTTGGGCGCGGAATTGGTTTCGCTCATGGTGTGTGCTTAACGCATGGGGCTCTCCGAAACTCACCGGAGTGGTTTCTACCGAGAGGGGCCCTGGCTTCGAGGACGAACCATACAATTCGGGGATTCTGGCGTTTAAAAATGCTTAGACTCATGCGTTGTTGGTCGCCTGTGGCTGCAGATTCCTGTCGGGAGGGAAACTCTGGGCCGCATTATGAACGTGGTGGGAGACCCAGTGGACGAGGCGGGTCCTGTAGGTAGGGACACAATGCAAGGACATGGTCCAACAGTGCCTGAGTTGCAATCAAATCTCTGTGGAGCGATCTCTTGAAAATTTGCTGCTGATCTGGTCTTCTGTCACCTCGCATCCAAAAGAGATTGGTTGATGTTGAAACGTGGGCATTTTTGATGTGCAACCTGTGTTTGTCAACCTGCAGTGAGCAAGAGCCAGCTCCCAATCCATCGCGATGCACCATCATTTGTGGAGCAGGGCACCCATGTTGAGCCACTTGTGACAGGGATCAAGGTGGGTTGCTCGCAAATTTCAGACCTGCAAGCTCATGATTGGTCATTCTTTCATGCCTGATCGCCTTGGATGATAGAATTGTAGGTGGTCCTGGGGGCTGACAGTTGTGCATGACATCCCTGGTGAAGCAGAAAGTGCTCATGGTCTGTTGGCAACTGGATCCAAGCTGAAGGTTGTCGTGTGACTAGGTTGTGGATTTGCTGGCCCCTTACCAGAAGGGTGGCAAGATCGGGCTGTTTGGAGGGGCTGGCGTGGGGAAGACAGTGCTTATCATGGAGCTCATCAACAATGTTGCAAAGGCACATGGTGCGGGAGACTCTGGAACCCAGGTTTCCATCGCATATATGTCCATATTTTCTGACAACGCTAGTTTTGTATTGTTGGTGTGTGCATGTGTGTCTATTGCCTGTCGACATCGCGGAGTTGGGTGGTAGCACTGGGCTCTTGATGTTGTCCTCTTGATGTCATCTGTCCAGATCAGCCTGCAGGACATGGGCTGCACGGACAATACAGAGTTGATCCTGCTGCATGCTCACGAATTTGTCCTTGAGTGCAGGCTGTGCTTCTCAAGTGCTCACAAGAATGCCCTGCTGGCTCGAGCTGCTGCAGTTGAAAAGTGCTGGTACCTTTTGACAAATGATGCTTGCGCAGGTGGCTTCTCTGTGTTTGCTGGTGTTGGAGAACGGACACGAGAAGGCAACGATCTGTTCAAGGAGATGGTTGAATCTGTGAGTCTTGTCTTGTGCCGATCCTAGTCGTGGGGCGTTGCCTGCCCGGCAGGCTGATGAACAAGCTGCCATGTCTCTCCCAGCCATTGATGGCAGCAATTTGGTCCAGTGCATAATGGCTTCAGTGCACTCAACCTGCTGTCTGTGTTTTTCTGATTTGTGGACGCTGTGTGTACATCGCTGGGGAAGCCTGCACTACCCACAACTCGTTTTATGCAAATGCCCAGGTCAAGCTCTCAGACTTGCCAATTGTGCTTGAGCTGTGTCGTTGCATGGTGCATCGCTTGAACATGGACAGTTGTATTGCAGGGAGTGATCAAATTGGGTGATCAGCGTGCTGAGAGCAAGTGCACGTTGGTCTATGGTCAGATGAACGAGCCTCCGGGTGCCCGTGCCCGGGTTGCCCTCACAGGTATATGTTCCATTGTCCATGGGCTGCTTTCTGTTTATCTGCCTGCTGAACTTTTTGTCACTTGCAGGGCCTTCAGTGGGAGGATGCCCCTTAGAATGGACTCATTGTTGACAGTGTTTGAATAGGTTCAATTCTGGCTGCATAGGCACTGCAAGTGCTTAGTTTTTCTTCCCCATCGGCTGATCCCAGCACTGATACGGGCATTGGGGTAATTGCAACCTGCAACATTGCATGCTAACACTCTGGTGTGCCCCTGTTGCTGTATAGGGCTCACTGTTGCTGAGCATTTTAGGGATTCAGAGGGGCAGGATGTGTTGTTCTTTGTTGACAATATCTTCCGTTTCACGCAGGTGAGCACAAGTGTATGTGAATATCCACAATGCCACACAACGCACGTTTATGTTCCCTTGTGCACGTTGTCTTTGCTTCAATATGTGGGATGCACTGGCCTGTGTTGAATGTGTGTTGATTTTAAATGCTGTGGGAATTGTCTCCAGCATGGGCACATGCAGGCAAGCGTTGGCAAAATGCACAGTGCTGCCTTGGTCATCATATTGCAATGGCGTATCGCCAGTCTGTGTAATGTTGTGTAAGAAAAGCAACAGTATGGTTGAAACGATATGGCCCATGCATGCAAGTGTTCTACTCAGTAAACTGGAAGCCCTTTGGAAATTTGTTTTGGACTTGGGCAAGAATGCATGTACAGGATTGGATGTGTAGGGGACTGTCCACCTGTGCTATGGTGCCATAGGCATGTTGGCATGTTTCAAAAACCCTTTGGGCAAGTATGTAGGGAGGCGCTCAAGGGTAAGGGCCTTGCCCATCACAGTGCATTGGACAGATCGACATCGCGAAGCTGTGGTCCCATGCCACAAAAGGCACATCTTGCATTGGGTGGTTCCCTTCTGTTATGGATGCACTTACATTCACATTCACTAATGGGATGCTTGCCTGTCTATGTGCTTGCTGGCAATTTAAAATCTGTAAACTCCCTCGCAAACGAGTATCATTCTGCATTGCAGCAAGTGCTGTTGCTTCACAATGGACAAAATGCTTGAAGTTGTGAGTGTGTGTTGCTTTAACTTGGACATTCAGGGGTAGGAAGCACCAGCCTAAAGCAATGTGCTTGTGTCTGGACAGGCCAACTCTGAGGTGTCAGCTTTGTTGGGCCGTATTCCCTCTGCTGTTGGCTACCAGCCCACCTTGGCTACGGACTTGGGTAACCTCCAGGAGAGGATCACCACGACCAAGAAGGGCTCCATCACATCGGTGCAGGTGTGGCATTTGTGTGCAACCAACACAAAGTGCCTTGTTTGCTCTTGTTGGTTGTGGCTATTCTGTGGTGTTGTATTGCCTGCAAGATTGCCAATCTCTGGGAGATGTGCATGCTCATGAACTTTCTGTCCCTTGTCAAGGAAATATCCTGGAACAGGAGGAAATTTGTTGTCGAGTGGGCACCCTCCTCCTGAGCAAGAATGCATCTGATGTGCTCATTTTTATGTACGAATGGTTGCATTGAGGTCTCTGTGGGCATTGCGAATGCTCACAACATGGAAATGCATGTAGAACACTTAGACATCCTTTCAGGGGTCTGTGTATGCAGAAATGCAAGTAGGTTTGCTTTCCCTTGGTGCAGTGCAAAATTATTCCAGAGCCTGCTGTTCACTGCCATACTGGTGCTGATAGTGGCGCATGCATTTATGGCGAAAGGAGATGGTGTATAAGGCAGACTCTGCTGGAGCAAGGGCCGCAAGGGTTTGACTGTGGTGCTGATGTGCTTGTATTTGTGGTCAGAACTCCATCTATGCATGTTCACTGGTACCACTTGGTAATTCTGGAGGCCAAAAGTGTCTTTAGTTAGGGGCTGATTGACAACCAATCTGTGCATAGGTGTCTGCGGCTGTGCTTGGCTTAATTGAAGGCATTAACAGTTTTTATTTGTTGCATTTGGCAGGCTGTGTACGTGCCTGCTGATGATTTGACTGATCCTGCCCCTGCCACCACATTTGCACACCTGGATGCCACCACTGTGTTGGCCCGGCAGATTGCAGAACTTGGCATTTACCCAGCTGTCGACCCCTTGGACTCCACATCTCGATTGCTGGACCCAAGAATCATTGGCCAGGAGCACTACGATGTGGCCCGTGGTGTGCAGAAAGTGCTTCAGGTAAGCCATTCCCAGCAGCTACAGTAGAATTGGCAATGCGTTAGGACAGCATATACTGACAGGAACTCATGGTGAGGACCTTGGGACAGTCCCTTGCTTGCCTGAGATGAAGACTGCAAACCCTGTGCACGATTGTTGGCTGTTGGCTCTTCCAATGTATCTTTTCACAAAAAGATAGATCCATAGATCCGAGTGATAATCGTAACCCTAATACCAAGAGTGTCAGCTGTGCACAGTCTTGCGTAGTGTGTGCCAAAGTAAGTGACAGAAGGGCGCTGGGGCTTCGTCCCAAGCCTTATGCATGTACTCCTTTGGAGAATTTGTGCGAATGAAGTTTCCAGAAAATATTGTTGGATAGAATTGGTAAGTATTGCCAAGCATCAAGGAACTTGTCACACGGCAAAGCTGATGCGTTTGGGGTTGGATAGTTTTCATTGGTGATGTTGAAGGCGAAACTGCTTCTCACACTTAATTGTGTGCCATTAACAAGTGGTTTGTCTGCTGTACAGGACTACAAGAACTTGCAGGATATCATCGCCATCCTGGGGATGGACGAGTTGTCTGAGGATGACAAGATGACCGTTGCGCGGGCGCGGACAAAGATCAGCCATTCGCCGTTGCTGAGTTCGCACAAAAGGCTGAAGAGACGATGGGTTCAAGGGCGTATGGCAAGACGATGACCTCCCAGAGATGGCATTCTACATGGTGGGCAACATCGACGAAGTCCAAGAAAAGGCGGAGAAGCTGGCCAAAGAAATGGCCGCAAGATAGGGGTGAGCTGTAGGGTTGTGCACGCAAGGCGGCTGCGTCTGCCGGCACATTTCGTTGTGGATGGGAACAGCCGTACACAGGCCTTGCGGATAGGACTCTCTTCTGCCCAGTTGCGATTCTCCAGTCTCTCCGATTGTTCATACAGTGGTCGAACATGTGTGGAGAGCTGTGCGCGTTACCAGTGTGTTAGGACTGACCACGAACGCAGACACTGGTGGCCAAGACGCTGCCAAGAGCCCAATTGGCTCCGACAGTGGTGGATGCCAATGTGGCGTCTCACGCTGCTGCAGCACAGAAAGCTTGCCGTTGAGAAAGGCAGCACATGCTATCTGCACGAGTGCATGAGTACCATTTTTGGATGACCCTGAATAGCAACGATGCTGCCAGTGTCACACTGGCCAATCTGAGCTGCGTGTACTGTTTGCGGCCACAAACCCCTTTGCTTGGTCAGCCGCCAGCGAAGGTGCCGCCTGGGCAACGCCTACAGTGCGCACAATGCGTCAGGCGGGCATCATACACGTGCAGCTATATGTTTACCCCACGTGCAAAAGGTGTCACTCCCCGCATGAAGCCCACGAATCTAATGAAGTGCATGCCTGTGCTCCAAACCGACTCGTCCAAAGAATGTCGAAACAAGTACAGGGACGTCCCGCTGCTTTAGAATCGCAGTGCGCTTGGTGCAATCGTATTGCTCTGGGAGCAAACCATCCAGCGGGCCCCGAGAGCGGTCCTCAATTTGGTAAACCGGCATGAGTGGCTTGAGGGTGAGGCACAAGGCGCGCGCAGAACATGGAAAGTAACCGCAGGACGATATTTCCCTTATCAAGGAGAACTTTAAACCGATACTACATTTGTGCATTAGTGGTATAATAAATGAACGATTCGGGACAATCGCTGTGCTATGGAAGGCTGCTGCTGCTCTTGCCGCAGTGGCTGGACGTAGGCGATAATGATAAGCGTTTAGTGTTGCGGTTGGCGTTGCCTTCACGTGGAGAAATGGAAAATGGAAATGAAAAAGCCAAAAAAAATGAAACACTGCAACTTCGCCATTGCGAGTGGAGGTTGCGCGCAGGTGGTGGGGATGCCCGTCGAAGTCATCTGTCCGGAGCTGTCCTTGGTAGGTGCTGCCAGGTTACTACGGGGGCGCCTGAATTTCGACTTCAGGCCGACGTGCCTCGTGTATTGACATCTGCTCCCCGACACTTTCTGAGAAGTGTAAAGGATGGCAGTCCATTCTGGCTGTCATCCCTGGAGATAGTGCAGTCAAATCACCCCTGAACGGGACGCTGAGCCACGACGACAGCCTCAGCACCACGTCAATTGAGGGTGCACTCAACGGACAACCTGTGCCCCTCGCACGAATAGGCTCTTCACGAAGAACTGTTGCCACGACGATGTCAACCACCAGAAAGATCAGCGACAACAAGGGAAGCTTTAGATGAGCGGCAAACATCCAATTGGACGTCGAGCTTGCAAGCGCGCAGGTAGAACTTCTCACAACTGCCCCTCAAAGGGCCACAACCAGTCGCAGCCACTCCCCAAAGGTCAACGAGGTCAAGGCATAGGTCAGCCCCACGGGTCGGAGCAGCCTTGTCCACAGCGTAGCGATACAGTACACGAAAGATACTTCTTTCCACCTCAACGAGGCTGTGCAGCAACGAAAGTTGGTCACTTTTGGCCAGCAGCTCGACCGCGCTGGCAGTGCTGGTCTTGAACGGCAAAGAAAGCGGCTCAAAAAAGGCACAGACTGGCCGCGACCTTCGAAAAGGTCGAGCGCTATTGCACTCAGGCCGCGGCGAATGTTGCACACACGGCCAGGGGAGTGAGGCAGCCAGGCTGAGTGCCTAGACCGCCGCGAGAGGCACACGCAAACGCCGTGCAACCGTTCTTACAACTGCCTGGCCGAGTTCAACAATACAAAGTTCCCCTCAGCTTTCGCCACGCCCCCAGTACTTGTAACCCCCCAAGTTCTGGCAAATACACCCCATTCTTAAGAGATGCTCTTTTGATACCCCGAATCTTTCTGCCACACCTGCCGTTTCACTGCAACTCAACCCGGTACGCCCCACTGCTCGCAATCAGCCACCACATAATGCCTTAGAGGCCACATTCCCATCAAACTGCCACACTTCCCTCGGTCAGCAACCATGTAATCCCCCACGAGGCATATTTCCATCAAACAACCATGTGACGCCTCCACGCGCCCCTCCCGGCTCCGTCTCGCCGCAGTCCATGGCAGACCCCCAGACGGGCAGCCCCTAAGAAAACGCACGTGTCATCATGATCATCATCATCCTTACGCTACATTCTGACACTAGACACTACATTCTGATGACTCTATTGCTCCCAGTCAGCAGCCACCTCTGCACATGAATCTTTCTCTACATGGACGTCTCTTTACTTTGCTTCTGACCTACATCACCGAAAGGTGGCACAGGCTGTTGACATTATGTTTATGCTGCAGGGAGCGGAGTTGGGTTTAGTGAACGCTATGTACCATCGATTATCACTTCTAGGCATCGAAAGTTCATAGATGATAGATTTAGTTTGTATTTCTCAATAGATTCCAATGAATCCATCACCGACTCTGCTTTGCTCAGACAAAATAGGAAGCTGACGGCTACCTCATTGCCTTGTTCTGTAAAAAAATCATGATGATGATGATGAACGCTATGCAATTAAGGCATTCATCATCATCGTCATCATCATCATCATTATTATTACAGAACAAGGCAATCAACAACGCACGTGTTCAATGGCAACGTGGGTGCTCCTTGGCACTCCAAGGCGTTCTCTTGGCGTATCTGAGCCATGTCTCCGTGTGATGCACTGCCACGTATTGGCGTTGTGCTCAGCATCTTTACAATATCCTAGTGGTCTCTTTGGGCGTAGGATGTCAAGTTGCCATAGTCTATCTTTGTCATCGAAGTCATATCCGTGCGCTCTGAGTGCCTTGAGCTTGCAATACTAGAAAGTTATGTAGCACGCTTGGCTGATGACTCTGGGGTTTCCCACCTCATTGAGCGCCAACCTGCTTGGTGGTGATCAGTGTGGCGAAGGTGCTGAGGCTGTCGACATCCCCTCTGCACCATATCTAGACATCACGTGTCGCCAGCTGAGTGATGTCATTAATGTACTAACTTGTTGATGAGCCCCATTAATTGGCGACCCGAACAGCAGGTCGATTGACCAGGAAAGCTGCAAGCATGGGGGAAGCACTAGAAATGCGGGTGAGTTCGAGGGTCACTCGGACTGGGTGACATCCATTGCCTGCCCCATGGACCCCGGATCCGACAAGATCATAACGGGATCAAGGTGCGAACAGGGCAGATGGCGATCACTGGCCTGTGTGTCACACGGGCGGGATGGCAACGACTGGAAGCGCTATCCACAGACAGCAGCTTGACGACTTGAGGACTCCTGATCCCTGCCCCATTTATGTGCGCCGGTCTGTTCAGAATAGTGACATAGCTGATTGGGGGCGATTGGGCGGCGGTTGGTCACAAGACTTTGGGCCCGGTTGTGCCTGACTTGCAAGGGTGAGAGACCATTGTTTGGGGCGGGCTGGGCTTTGAAATTCTTCCGCCTGATTGGGCAATTGCTAGGGACAAGACGCTCGTGCTTTGGCGGTTAGCTACGGAGCCTGACGACCACATAGCCCGTCCCAAGGTGGTGAGCTACCCTCTGAAGTCACTGCACGGGCACTCACACTCCGTGCAAGACGTCACCATCTCTTTGGATGGCCAGTTTGCGCTGTCAGGCTCATGGGATGGCACCCTCCGGCTGTGGGACCTCAACGCAGGAACGACATCCAGGCACTTTGTTGGCCACACCAAGGACGTGCTCAGTGTCGCATTCTCTGTCGATAATCGCCAGGTAGGGTCAGCGCCCAGGCTGGGCGCTGGGCGACCCAGCGATCTCCCTTCCGACTTGTTGTCCATCACCACAAGAAATGTTGAAATGGGTGCATGGCTGATTGCATTGCTGCATATTGACATGTGTGCATGGTGAGGTCACATCAAACTGCCCATCAAGTTGCAGACACTGTCCTTTTCCAGACAGCGTGCACGGTTTCATTGCAGGCCAAAACAGGGTCCCTACCCAGCACTGTTGCTGGCTCTGCAAGTTTTGGGTTTGATCCTGGTTGTTGTGGTTGTTGCCACGACCTGATGTACCATGCACTGAGGCCCGCTGTGGCGGTTGACGTGCCAATAGCTGTGCGCTACATTCCCAGTGTTTGGTATGTTTGCCTGGTCATCGCCCGCAAGGTGCAAGGGTTTTGGTTTAAGGACTGCTTGGAATGAGCGATTTGCAACAATGGCAGGGAATGGAACCTGAATGCATTGTTTGTGCTGATGTGGCATGGATGTGGCTTGATTGTGAAGATCAAGCAACAGTTTGTTGCTGCAGATTGTTTCAGCTGCTCGTGACAAGACTATCAAGATCTGGAATACTCTTGGGGAGTGCAAATTCACAATGGGTGACCAAGATGGCCATACGGAGTGGGTCTCCTGTGTTAGGTTTTCTCCAGACACAACAAAACCCATGCTAGTGTCTGCTGGATGGGATAAGCAGGTAGGGAGTGTTAATGGCTCGTGTGCAACGAATGAGTGGCAGACTGAGGGATTGTGGTCAAAATCTCAAAGGCTGGGTGCACACAGTGATGGCTATCGTGTTTCTGTTCTCAATGGCAACTCTGGGGTGCTTCTAGCCTCATCTGCGTCCAAGCTGACAGGCACAAGGAAAAGTAAAAGGACTCCATCTGTTGCACCATGATCATCAAGTGACTGGGAAAGGCACACCTGGCCTGAGATGCAAATAGTCAGTTCGCCGCACACTTGGGAGCAAGTACTCTCCCTGGGAGAGCAACAAGTGTCCTTGCCCACATTCCCACCCTCAGTAGATTTATCAATGGAATCTAGCATTGCTTCCAATCATTCCAGCTTTATGTGTACTCTGGTCCACAGCTACCTATGGAATAGCAGATGGCAATTGTTTTGCCTTTGATGCAAACCTGTGGCTTGCCGCAAGCGTGAGGATTCACGTCACTGTTGGGAACTAGCTTGACCACTTGTCCGCGAGGCCTGCTGCACGATTATTAAGATGCCAAGATGATGCTTGCCAAGTTCCTGGGAACTCTAAATATGTGTTTTGTTGTGGCCTTGCATGCATGGTGATGCAGTGTGCTGTGCATTGATTATTGTTTTCGTTTATGGCGGTGTGCATGAATTGTGGCAGTTGCACTTGTGCCACTGTGCACACATTCTTGCATTTGTGGGATACGCCATACTGATATATGTGAGCCTGGAAAAGCTGCTGATATGGCCTCTCGGCAGAATTGCCATTCAAATGGCTGTTGTGCTTTTGCACAGATCAGGTTTGGAATCTGACCAGCTGCAAACTGAAGACGGACTTGGTTGGCCATACTGGCTACATCAACACCATCTCAGTCTCTCCAGATGGCTCTCTCTGTGCATCTGGTGGGAAGGTAATACTCCATGTTTTTGGCATCACAGTGCAGTATGATAGCCAATGGCATCTTCCACTTACTGGCTGATGGACCATACAACGTCCACATTGCACCTTTGGTGAAGCAAACTAAGGCACCACATTCAGCTTTGTTCTTTAGAGAAACGACAGGTACTGGTTAATCTCTTCCTGTGCAGGACGTTAATTCTGCAATCCTCCTTGCCCAGTTATCCATGGTGTCAGTTAATTGCAGGAAGCACATCTTTGTAGCATTGAGTTTGGATGAGCTGCTCCCTAGAATCAAGTATTCCTGTTCACACTGTGCACCCAGCCCTTGGACTGGAACTCAACGTCTTCCAGATTGCTCTGCCACCTTAGCAGTGTGTGTTTACCTGCAAGAGTGTGTGACCATGCTGTGGGATCTTGCAGAAAGCAAGGGGATGTACTCTCTTGATGCTGGTGACATCACTCACTCACTGTGCTTCTCTCCCAACCACTACTGGTTGTGTGCAGCAACTCACTCAGCCATCAGGATCTGGGACCTGGAAAGGTGAGATGTGATCATGTGTTGTGGGTGCTCCTCCAGAGGGGTTTGGAAACCAGCTTCGAACTCAGGAAGTCTGGACGGGACTGGCTCCTGCAGCTGATCTGAGGCCCATTGCAAGGGCCTTGCATTGCCGCATAAATGTGTTTGAATTTGTTTGCACTTCAGGGATCCCAAAGAGTTTCAAGGTTGTCTTACGCTGTAAAAGACTTTCTGGGAGCTGGGCTTCTTGTTTTGCCCGGACGCTCGTATGCTGAAAGTGGCGATGACATATTGAGCTTCAGTTATGCTATATTGCAGCAAGAGCCTTGTGGCTGAAGAGAGGCCCGATTCTCAAGGGAAATACACCAAGACGAGCCCTCCATACTGTGTCTCTCTGGCCTGGTCTGCCAGATGTTGTTCTCAGGGTACACATATGGGAGAGTGCATATTTGGGAGGTGCCTTCAAACCAAACGATGTAAACAGCGTCGAAGGGATCCTGCCCACAGCCGTCTTGCTGGTTGTGGTACTCAGTACAACATGGACATGGCACCGCTGTATTCCTTTCGAGCGGCACAAATGGATGGATTGTTGGCAGTGAATGATAGACAACAGCAGCACTGCACCGCTGGAAACATGAGTATGGCTGTGCTTTCTGCAGCATTCTCCCTGCTGGCCCTCATGCAACTCGATGAGTCTCTGACCGCCTGGCCTTGTTCTGTGCTCCACATCTGCTGTGATGGACTATTGGTGGCCAGCAGAATGGTGAATGGTGCCCTATGTGCAGAACAACAAATGCCCCATGTGCAGAACAACAAATGCATAGACGTATGCAGCTCGCCATTTATTAAATATTTCTTTCCAACTGATGCTCAGACTTTGACTCACCCTGTGGAAACGATATCTTCCATTGCCAAGTCAGCTGTTTGGATTGCTGCAAATTCGCAATATGCTGTGGGCCCAAGTATTTCCCATTGCTTGTTGGACTCGTTTCTACAGTCACAACGTTGTTGAGACAGAGCGGCAGATTTGGGTTTCAGGGCATTGCTTTTTGAACGCTGCCAATGCGACTTTCCAACCCAGCTTGAACTGCGCGCTTTTCCGCCCTGCACTGCGATGTGAATTTGCTGAATTTCAGCTCTGCTGTGCAACATGCAAAAAAACAAAGGTTGGATTAGAGTGGAACTCAGCGATAGATGACTTGCGGGGAACAGGCAAGATGAACAGAACCATACACATGGAGGTATTGACAATGGACATACCCAATGTCTGGACTCCAGCACAAATGGCAAGCCACAAATGGATCATTGTGCTTATGCAAGTGCTTGTCAAGCACACCATGCACAAGGTGCTAGGAGACCACAGAATCTGTATGAAGAGTCAACACTTCCACAACCTCGCTTTTTAAATTGGATGCAGGCAGATCCCCTGAGATCTGCCAATCAAAGAATGATTGTGAGCATAGCCATCAATCAGGGCCCAGTATCAACAAAACAGCCCTTCCCTGTCTGTGAAACAGGTCAGTCAGTCGTGCAAGCGCACATCAGCCCCAAATGGTTTGTGTTGGAAGGCCGTCCCCGTCCATGCCGTTCGCCTCGCAACATCCCAATGGGTCGCCATGCTTGTGCCAACAGCTGCAATTGGGCCAAACTGACTGCTTGCCCATCACTCACCAATTCACAGCCCCTTGATGTCCCCGCCGACACCGGCATCTTGCGCCCAAGCGGTCATCGCGGACACGACGGCCACAAATTCCCTCTTGGACTCCACCAGGCCCCCGCTCTTGGCAGCCGCCTGCAGCGCCCCCACGCCGCTCAGCACCTGCGTCAGCGACCTCTCCGCCGCGGCATTACCGGCGCTCAGCCTCTCCCCGGCCCTCCGAAAGTCCCCGACCCAGGAGCCGTCCCCGATGATGGACGCCACCCCGCTGAGGCTGCCGGACTCCAGTGCGGCCCCGGATCGCGACAGCTGGAACACCGCCGTCTGCACGGGCTTGAGAACGGACTCGTCGCGGCGGTCGCGGTAGCCCCCCTCTTTTACAAACTTGCGTTCGGCCTCTCGGTCTGCCTGTATGCGCTGCTGCCGCCTGCCCTTGGCCTTCTCGATCAGGTCCGTGTCATCGTCGTCGGGGAGCAGCGCCCAGGAGGGGGCGGCGGCGGCCAGCAGCGCGGGCGCGATGAGGGCCGACCCCAGGAGTGAGCGTCTGGTGATGGATGCGTCGCCTTCGCCTGACAAGTCCGCATCCGCGGGAAGGGTCCCGCTCGATCGGCGCGGCGCGGCCTGGGGCCTCGGCGGGGCCGACGGCTGTTGCCTGGCGAAGGGCGAACCGGTGGCGAGCGGCGCCGAGGCCTGGCACCCAATCGGCATCGCTCAGGGACCGCGTTGCTTCGGAAGCCTCTGTTCGCGGTGGACGGCAGCGGGAGCGCTTTTGGCTGGCGTGAGCGCGCCTTCACGACTGCCACGGCCCAGTGGTTGGAAAAGCTAGATCCAGTAATTTTACGCCAGGGGCCGCAGGCTAAATACCCGCGAGCCCAAGGCACTTTGGCCTGGTGTCACCTTGCCCCTGGCAAAAGGCAAAGGGGGGCGAGTAGGAGGGTGAGTCGTGATTCAGTGCGTCACACCGGGGTGTTACATTGGTACCAATGTACTAGACATCTGGTGATGCTGTGGAGGTGACTCTTGTGTGGGAATGCAACCCGGCAGTTGAATCGGTTTGTTTTTTGGGGGGGGGAGGTTTGGTGTGGCCACTCCTATGAACGTGGCACCACTACTGACCATGGGCCTTAGGGTTTCTGACGTTTGTCATGCTTATGAATGAGTGCATCAATGACAAGGATCTTCATCAGGCCTGTGTGTTGTTGTTGTTCGGGGCACCAATAAATGGAGCCAATCTAAACAAATAGATGGCTGCCATGCCACATAAGTCTTTACGTGTATACTACCAAGTTGGTGCCCCATGAGACCCAGGATTCCAGGCCGGCATGGCCTTGGTCAAAAGGTTGCAAACAAAATGGAAGTATACCCCTCAAGCAACTTGCCAAAAGGCCACAAAGAACCCACAGGGGTCATCAGGGCCCAAACGTACGCCAACAAGGGGACAATTACAACGTGATCCTGTCAGCTATTCACCCACTGCACGGGAAGCACTTAGGAAGCACCATGACTTGTGAGGCTCGCACCCGATGCCAGCCACCCGCCTGCCCACTGATTGGTTGAAATGCCACATGAATGTCTAGCAACCCACCCGAATGGACCAAGAGCACTTGCCGAAGGGCCTTGTGTTAAGAAATAGGAGCAATGCCCATTGATCAGGCAGTTCAACCTATGGCAAGCTATGGGGCTCAGCGGAAGCCCTCTACTGGAGGGGTTCGCAATCACACGGTAGTGACGACAATCCCAAGGGGATTGTTTGGAGGTGGCGGGTGGGGATCAGGAGGCAAGGGAAAAAGTTCTCACTCTATCTAGAGATGCTGCTTGAAAGTCTTCGAAAAAGTATTTCAGAGTATGGAGGCTGTGGGAGGAGTCTGCTCACGTTTCAGCAGGGGAGGATTTTGGAGGCAGGCAGGTGGAGCAAATCTTAGAGAGAGGTTTCCCAAACTAATAGGGGTTTGCTCGCAGACCCCACCTCCATAGAATGCTTTGACCAGACTGTAGGCAAGAGGGCATGCAAGGGGGTGCAAGTGCAGGGAGTGAGATGGTGGGGGGTGCACATACCGTTGAACCCTGACTCAGTGGGGCGACCAAGGGGATTTGCAATATATACATGTATGGGGCAAGAATCGGGCATTGTCACATCATGTTGTAGCCTTGTCAGCGGCCGCTAGTTTCCGGTGGTGTTGGGGTTGCCCTGCCCTGCAGCACAACCGTTGGAGGTTTGGTTGGGCTCTCCACATGGATGGTGGGTATTATGCATATAGGCCTCATGTGGGGGACGCCCTGCTTAGGATATAGCAACAATACATAAACTAGGCTATATATTACTATATAATATGGGAGTAGGTTGGGGTGGTTCCGCCTAGATCCCTGTAAGGACCTAGGTGTCTGGCGAGGTGGGTCCGTGGCTTAAAAAGGGTAGGCGCCCCACACCAACAATCTTCTTGTATCATTTGGTTTCGGAGCCACCTAGGGGTGGCTCGCACCGTGCGAGTTACACGCTTCCACTATGCAAGGAGAGAACAGCATTCGGAGACACTGTCCCCGGCCTCCTTTATAGAGGCTAAGGAAACCAATCCCATAGCTCGTGAGGGCCATGTGGTGATTTCACTTGGGGATAGGCTAAAAATGGCATTTCTAAAACTAGGATTATTCAAAAAAGTGCAAATATGCTAAAATCGGCTTATTTAGGAGCCTTTAATGCTGATAGGCTTTTGAAACGTCCAATTCCCTGTAGAAACGGCGAAGTTATGGTCAGTTGAAGTTGTAGTACTTTAGCATGGGATTCGGACCGGTAGATAGAAGCATCGGGGATTATACGGAGTTGATTTAGGTGAATGTTGGGTGGGGACATGAGCGCATAACACCTAATGATGTAATATGTACTGTTGTATGTTGTTATATCTTGATGTGATCGCGAGGGACCCGCGATCAGGCATCGCGCGCATGCAGGTCCTGAAACAGGCGCATGCAGGTTATGCATGTAATCGATCTTTGGCCCACTGCCTGGTCTCTCCGCGACCAACGAGCCATCGCCTGGCTGCGCCTCCACTCGCCGCATACAACAGGCCCCGGGGAACGATCCCCGTTCGTGTTTGGGCCCACCGCGCATCCGAGGGAATGAGCACCCCATTACCGCCCACCAAGTATGGTGGAGAGGACTGGTTGTACCGTCACCAGCCGAGTCACAGGGCGTGGCGACCCCACAAGCTTTGGAAACCAGTGGCACCCTTCAGGGGCGCAACAAATTGGTTTCGGAGGTGACAACCCGGAGTCAAAAGCTGAGCAGCGGGCGCAGCATCCAAAGAATGACCCACAGCCTCCAAGGCTGCAATTCCAGAAGCCTCCAGCACCCACAGCGGCGGCCAGCCATAACCAACGGCTGAATCGCCATGTTGTGAGCTGCGGTGTGCATTGAAGAGCCAGGGAAGAGCATTAGCAAAGGGCGATTGAGTGTGGCGTGGGCAGAAGGTGGGCGATCGCCGAACCAGTGCATCCCAAGCAAATTGCCAGAAGATTCGGTGCTGGAATTCGAGTTGCGCCAAGCGCTCTACCTGTAGCCAAACACGAGAAGGCCAGCACCCATCAGTCGGAAGAATTAGTCAACCTCAGGTGCCACCCCCCGTAGAATAGGGGTGAAGGTCCCGCTCAAGAAGCAGGGGACATCTGCTGCTTCACCTTATGTTGCAAGTACCGCAGGCGGGTCCCAACCAGACCGCTCTGCACCAAGATTGGGGGCCTGGCTAGGGAAAGGGGGAGGAGATTGAGCACGGCAATAGGCAGGCCCACCTGAGTCTATAGTGTTACCTTCTAGAGGAGGAATCTCCCTTGGAACCGGTCAGAGGGTGAAGCCATTGCTTGCCTGAGGTAGACAAGCCAGCCACCCCCATTGAACCTTGGGTGGCTGAGTCTTAACATATTAGACAGGCTGGGGGTGCCATAGGCTAACCTAGACCTCTTACAACAGTCTTGTCCTAGGTAAGGGACACCTTTTTAGGTTGTTCTGTTGATGTTGGGACTAAGTTTTCATTAGTAGCCACAGACGCACCCTCTGGAAAGTTACCAGGTGGACCGAGAGGTTACCCTGCAGAGTACTGGGGGCAACTGTGTGTGAAAGTGATTACTGAATACCCGTAGAAGCAGGATAACTTAAGTTGGGAGGTAAAGGCTGTTTGGATACTTGGGGATAGGAACCAGTGGATTTTTGGTAGCCCAAGATCACGTCTACACCGATTGATTATGCTACAATACAGTTATCAGTGGACCAATTTCATGAGTGGGATCATGGCAGGACATGATATAATGGAGCTACAGGGCCATGATGGTGCAGAGGATATCGACGGGATAGTGGAGACTGTTACAAAAGCTAGACAGGTGGGAGTTATTGCTCATATGAGGTGCAACAATAGAGGATTCTAATTGCCGGGACAGAACCAGGGGCAGTGGTTTTGGGAAACCCACAGGGTGCCCTGGTCTCCAGGACTAAAGCTGCACAAGGGATGCAGAACCTAGAGCATCGTGCTGCACAAGCTATAGCAGGCACAGCCGCACAGATAGCACATGCCATGAATGTGCTAGCTAATCAGACGGCATCGGTGATGCAGCAGACTGCTCAGACATCTCAGAGAGCAGTTTTACATTTGGAGGGTCAGACCAAGGAGGCCTTTGGACGTAATGAGACTGCTATATCGTCAATGCATAGAAATGTCTCCAGCAATACTGAGCGAATTTCAGAGCTGGAGAATGCATTGGCACATGAGAGGCAGAGGAATGTAGATGCTGAAAAGAGGCTGAGAAGGGAACAAGACATAACCGTTGAGGAGCTTACTCGGCAGATCAACGATGCTCTATCCAGAATCGATCAATTGTCCATGGAC